CTGCTGGAAAGGTGGATGCCAAAGAAAAGCCACATCCCGGAGCGGCGGTTCGGTGGCTCCTTGTGGAGGTCTTCTCCCAAAGAGTTGGAATTCGTTTCTCCACTTTGCTTTGCCGCCTCTCTCCTCCAAATCCACCAAAAATAAATAAAAAAAACCAACCCCCCCCAAAAAAAACCCCAAATAACCCAACAAAGACACCAAAAGCAGCAGGACGGAGCTGCCGGCGAAGCGGGAAGTTCACCGAACCTCCGGAATCTCCTCCCCGCAACCGCAGAAGCTCGAAAGTAAAGAGTAAAATAAGAATCCTTTGGTCACAGCTCCGCGTGGTCGTCGCGTGTTTCCGCTTTTCGTAAGCTAAAATTGAAATAAATATACAAGGGGGACAGCCGCTACCGTGGGGGGGGTCGGGTTTAAGAGCAGCTTGTGGTCGGTCGCCCCTACGGGAGGGGAGAGGGGGGAAACGTCAGGAGAAATTCCGGATTTCTGAATCCTTCCGGATCCCGCCGGGGCACTTTTTGGGGGTGGCTGCAGACGGAGGATTTCATGCGGGAGCACCAGTCGCTGCTGATCCCGTCCTGATGGACGTAGGCGCATCGTCCGTCACCCCGGACATCAAACCTGAGCCGAAAAGCAGAAGGAAAACCTCTGAAGGGAAGCACGAGGGGTTTGCTCTCAGCCTCACACCACCACCTGAGCATCTCCCGTACGGGTTAACGGTGCCACAAGGAGTGGGGAACGCACTTCCCAACAAGCAGCTCACCCCAGGGAGGAGAAAAACCTCTTCCAGCTCCGCGACGGAGGAGAAAAACCTCTTCCAGCTCCGCGACGGAGAAGAAAAACCGCCTCCTCCGCAACGACGGAGGAGAAAAACCTCTTCCAGCTCCGCGACGGAGGAGAAAAACCTCTTCCAGCTCCGCGACGGAGGAGAAAAACCTCTTCCAGCTCCGCGACGGAGGAGAAAAACCGCCTCCCGCTCCGCGACGGAGGAGAAAAACCGCCTCCCGCTCCGCGACGGAGGAATATTTTCAGCCGCTCAGTCCCGGGGAGACCCTCAACCCCCTACCTGATGCAAATTGACCGACCGCGGTCTGAGGGTTTTAGCTCAAGGCAAGACGAGCGGTGTTTAATTGCTCCCACCTAATTAAATTTATATATATATACACACACACACACACATCTTCTCAATGTCAATCCCCAGAGGAACAAGAATGTGAGGGGAAAAGCAATGCTTTGTTTCATGCTGCTTTGGGCACAGAGACCCAACAAATGTCCACAGCAGAGTCCCATTATTGCAGAATGATTCCTCCAACAGTAGTAAGTCCAACTTTGATAGTATAGTGCATCATAGACTGGGAAAAAAATTAAAAAAAAAAAAAAAAAAAAAGGAAGCATCTCTTTTGTGCAAAGCGTTTGACACCGTCCCACACGATATCCCAGTCTCTAAACTGGAGAGATGTGGAGTCGACAGATGGACCACTGGGTGGATAAGGAACTGGCTGGATGGTCGCACTCAAAGAGTTGTGGTCAACGGCTCCATGGCCAAGCGGAGACCAATGACCAGTGGTGTTCCTCAGGGATTGGTACGGGGACCGGGGCTGTTCAATGTCTTTGTTGGGGACATGGACAGTGGGATGGAGTGGTCCCCACGCTGGAGGGGAGGGATGCCATCCAGAGAGACCTGGGCAGGCTGGAGAGGTGGGCCCGTGCCAACCTCATGAGGTTCAAGAAGGCCAAGTGCAGGTCCTACGTGTGGGTCGGGGCAATCCCAAGCGCAACTCCAGGCTGGGTGGGGAACGGCTGGAGAGCAGCGCGGAGGAGAAGGACCTGGGGGTGCTGATTGACCAGAAGCTCAACATGAGCCGGGAATGGGCGATGGCAGCCCAGAAGGCCAACCGTGTCCCGGGCTGCATCAGAAGAAGCGTGGCCAGCAGGGCAAGAGAGGGGATTGTGTCCCTCTGCTCCCCTCTGGTGAGACCCCACCTGGAGTACTGCCTCCAGCTCTGGAGCCCCCAACATAAGAAGGACATGGACCTGCTGGAGCGTGTCCAGAGGAGAGCCATGAGGATGATCCGAGGGCTGGAGCACCTC